TCTCAAAGGGGAGTCCGATCCGCATATCCGCACCAATCTGCGGCGTTTCGTCGTACTGAAAGAAGTCGATCTCGTTCTTCGTCGCCGCGTAGGACGAGATCCATGTCCACCTCCTGTTTATCGTCTTCTTGAACCATGAGTTCCCGGTGTAAAGGTGTTTTGTTTCTGGGTCACTAATTCCTGACTTATTTGCTCTCCTGCTCTTCTTCATCCGACTTTGCCATTGAAATCTCCCGTAACGAGGGTATACTTGTACTTTGGGATCAATATCTTTACCAATTGTTGATAGATTTCTTCCATTTCGTCCTCATAGGCTGTACTTGTGGAGAATTTTCATGGTTGGAACAATTTTCATGGTTCTCTACTTGTTATGTTGTAGGCTCTGCACGTCCAGCCTTTTTCATTTCACATGGCAGACGCAGTTGGTTTTGCAGGCCAAATGTTGCAGGCAACAAATCTTGTTCCTCCTCTTTTCTTCGTGCCGTCTCTCTTCCTATCCAAATCGAGCTACTGTCTTTCTTGATCCAATTCATCTCCTTTCGCCGCCAAGTCTCGCAGAAACCAAAGGCGTCGCAGTCCATCCCTGATTTTTCCTCCGTTAGCTCGTCTAGTTTGTCTACCTCACTAGTGTTCGATAGTTGTAGGTGAAAACGGTTAGGGAAATCCTGATCCGTTTACCATATGATGCCTTTTAACCTAGGATTGATTCTTTGTAGCCTGTCGTCCGTTTAACACCCAAGCACAGTGTGAAACGATTCAACAGGTGCGCAGGGTACTGAGACCGATTTATTCTTCTTGTGGTTGCACATGAAGTTTTCCATCCAGCTTGCAGAGCTGACGGAGGTTTGGGGAATTTTGTCCAGCCGGGTACCCTACTTTTGTTCGGTTTCTATCGACGTTATTCTTCGTAGTCTTTGAAAAAACCGCAAGGCAACGGCGGCATTGACGGCCGTTTCTCAAAGAGGCCGGTGGATTTTACCTAGACATGAGAATGTCATTGAGTATTTTGACATTTTCTCTGAGGATCGAACTTGTCTTATTGTAACCCAGCCACTCCCTGGTGGTCTCATCGCTGCCTGTCCGCGACTGCTTATTTGTCACAGCTAACCTTCATTTACAGATATAAGTATAGTTCATGCATATGGTCCATGTTTCACGTGCATACTTTGGTACAAAGGAGATGCACCGATAGATTATTTTTCGAGTCTAGCATAACGACAGTTTCCTAGATGGGATCGTTTTCAATGTTTAATAAATATGCTCTCCTTTTTGACTACTTTGCTACTTCACAAGTAGTACTCAACATTTCGTTTTAAATTTCAGTTGCTGTGTGATTTCAGGTTAAATCATTCTCCCGCACAAATGACATTTGGGAGGTTATAAAGATATCGCCAATTTTCAACACTGTCAGCTTTTGTCGCTTTTGAGGATTTCGATTCGTTTAAATTGACGAGTTGTCTAAGGCAATATTAAAATATTCCACAATCCAGTTCGAAAAGACTCTAATAAAAATTCTGAAATCTAATACAGTAGAGCGAATACATGGCAAAATAAATAGACAATCAGAAACTTCTACAATTACCGTGGTCCTACTGCGATTAAAACTCTAGTGTTTTGGCTGATAATTCTACGTTTGATATGATTTATTTTATTCATGAGACTTTCTCTTTCTTCTATACTCATGCATTATTTCTTTCTGGGCGTGCCTTCCGACACCTGCCATTTCCTTCAAATCAGGAACTTCTTACCGCTTCGGGTGGTCTTCTGAATAGGAGCAGCTGCGCAAAGTTTGTTTCTGTCCGCATGTGGTTTCTCTTCTAAAAATGAAGTCTTTTTGTCCTGCTTCAGATCGAGAGGTCCCGTACCTCTTGATTCCTATCAAAATTATTTAAATCACAAATAAAAAGTTTGTGTATAAAATTTAATTCCGCCGTTATCTGTCCCAGATCTGGTTTAGAAAGCAACAGGGTTGGAAACCGTTGCGAAATGCTCGTAAAATTTCGCCATCTGCCCTTCACGGTATTGACGTAATCGAAAATTATACGGCTCGGTCGTCGCCCGGATTACTGAGGGCTACGCAGTTTCAGGACTGAGGCAGACTGCGAAAAGTCGGCGATCAGAACCCGCACATCGTCCTCTGCCAGTCGGGGTCATAGCAGCACAACAACGGCTGACGAACCCCGACGGAAAGAAGAAGAACATATCAGTAAGCAACGGAGTCGCCACCCGTTCTGAATGGAGGAGGCCCACAATGCGATGCCATTATAGCACGTCAGAAAAGGCTCCACGGAAACGACACCACCAGTGGGAGCTTACAGTCGGAAATTGGAACATATCCTCACTCAGAGGGAAAGAGCGAGAGTTAGTTGATGAGGCCATAAAATACCAACTCGACATTGTTGGACTCTCGTCAACGAAACGCCAAGGCTCTGGACTCATGAACCTCAACGGATGGAAGATATTCCAGTCAAATGACAATATCATCAAGCGCCCTCCGATTGGTATTGGTGTTCTAGTAGAATCCAACCTGGCTGATAAAACCCTTTCGACTAAGCTACAATAGACTCATGTTTTGACCCTGTTACAGGTCCATAAACAAATTTTGGAGCGAGAATATGAGTCCTTCCTTCAGAAACTTGGAAATGCTCTGCCGTAGTGCCGACTTCCTAGCCCCTCATTCCAACGTGCCATTTTATTGCGCATGTCGGAGCAGATACTGAAAAGTGGAAACGCGTGATCGGATGGAACGGTTGTAGTGGCCTGAACAATAACAGAATGAGGCTCATTGCGGTTTGGCGCAAACAACTGACTGTGTTTATGAACATCTTCCAGCATCGAAGCATGCACTAGTATAAGTCGCGTAGGGAAGCTTGTGCACAGAAGTCGATGATCGATTTGATAATCGTATCGTCTGACCAAAGACGCTCAGTAATGAATGTTGACGTTAAGAGAGGCACAGAGCTATCAACCGATCATCACCTTGTTGTTGGCACGCTGCGCTGTAAGGAGTGGAGTACCATACGAAGATCTGGTGGTAGAAGCAACCGGAGAATCAAACGGGAAACATTGTCTTCGGTGGACACTACAGCGAAACTGGCAAACAACATCGCACGACGGTTTGAACAGATCCCAGCGATGACAACTGATGTTTAAACCGAGTGGCAGCTCCTTAACAGCAGCGTACTCGAGGCTGCCGCCGAATGCTCCGGATATAAACGGGTTTAGCCTGCCGCCTGGAGGTCAGAAAAGATCTTCATGGTGGACACGAGAGGTACAACTGGCAGTTAAAGAAAAGAAAGCAACTTTCAAGAAATGGCTTGGAAACAAGGAGCCGTCTACTCGCGTGCGATATTTCGATGCACACAAAGCGGCGGGAGCGGCCTTACGGGTCTCGACATGGTCCGGAATACTGACATCCGGAAGAGCCTTTGTGTCCAGCCTTTGCTTCTCTAGATTGAGAAGTCACAACTGCGATGGCTTGGGCATGTGTTGCGAATGCCTGCAGAAAGGAAGGCTAAGCAACTGTTCCTTGCCAAACCGACCGGCAGAAGGCCCAGGGGACGGCCAAGATTAACCTGGTGCAAATATATGGAAGGAGACTGTTCCAGACTCCAGTTATCTTCTGCCGAAGCTCAGACTCTATCAAAGCATCGGGAATGTTGGAAGCACTGTCTGACGCGTCTGCCTCTTCGACCCGAAAGGAGAAGTGGTCATGGAAGGTGAAGAAGTTGCATAAAAGTTAACATTTATGCAAATTCAAATTTATTTTTGTTGCCGAGGTCCGATAGAAACCTCAATGGGAAGACAGCCCGTACTGCCAGATTACGCGGGCTCAAATGAAAAGTTCAGTTTTGAATACTCAACGTATTTTGCAGTCACTGTTTTTTTAATTTTCGTAAATGCGCTGCTAGTAAGCGAAAGTATGAATTATTGCATTCCAATGCCGCACTGTATAGAAGAACAAACAGCAGATTAATCCATCTACACAGCAATCATGGCAGTGCGTTATGCCTGCAACACTGGACATGATCCGTAGAAATTTTGGCTTCTTGGCGAACGGTTATATTGCCGCCGAGTCTATTGTTCTTATCGAAATTCAAATTCGTTCTGACTTTGCTACTGAACTTCGATATGATGGATTTGTTTAATGAATGTGGGAAATCCTCATTGCAGACTGACTTACTAGTGTGTGCAATCTATCAGTATATGTTTAGCTGGTATTGTTTAATTTCTGCCCATCGCAGTCGCTCGCTTTTCAGAGGCACCCAGGAACTCAATGTCTCATGTCAGAAATCTTGCAGTCAGTAGGAGAGCTCGCCCCCGATGTAATTGAAAAGCTGTCCGTGTACTTATGTTAAATAATCAAAGATAAATAGTCAGATAAAGCGTACACCCGGCCTGAACTTCATTAAAAGGCGCTTGATCTCTCCTCAGTAGTGCTTGAGTGCAATTGAGCAAATCTTTAAAAAGCAGCCAAAAAGCACCCGGATGTAAAACAGCAGCTGCACTGCTAAGTTTAAGTTCCCAGGAAAGAACTCATACTCGTGACCGCTAGGGTCTATTTCTGCTATTCTCTTGGTTCTCTTGAATATTCGTAATCATTTATAATTAAAACATTCGTAGAAAACTTCTTTTGTTAGATTGCTATTCATTTATATCCCATATGTTCAAGGTGATTCTTGGTATTGAGATTCTGCACTCACCAATCTTATGTTTAGATTTGACTCAACCAGTCAGTAGTAAAGTACCTCAGGCACTTGATGAACAGAACACATATCCATGTTCAGCAGCTGACGTGGCCAACGTCACCGTTCAACACATTCGCCGAGAAGATGGAATTAGAGGTATAATTGACAGTTATTTCCAGAGTCAACATTTTGTAATTTTTTAAATGGCCGTTACTCCACAAAATAATCTGGAGCAAATTAGCTCACAGCAGAGCTGCTGACTACATTAATTCCATAAGGGGCCTGTCAAAAAGTTTATTGAACAGTGTAGTCGTAAGCTGAATAAACAACCGACTAAGTAATGAGTATCATGTTAAAACAGAATCGTCTCTCTAATCACGTTATTTTATTGTCAGTGTATTGTTATTATTGTCAACTAACAGATAACGCCTCCAATACCAGGTTGCAAGGCACTGCCCTACGCTTCTCCTTGCTTCTCGTTGCCTGAAATAGGGGGGGGGCATTGAACAGGTCATGATTCAGTTGCGTTTGAACAGGTACAGTGCCAGATGAACCTGGCATAGCTCTGTTCACTAAAATCATCTCACGCTCATTAAAGCAGTTTTCTAGGAGTTGGTACTAATTATCTGTTTCCGCATATATTTTGAATATGTTCGTACCCCGAAGTATGTCAAACAGCGCGTGACTCCTCTAAAAGCAGAATTCGCGGTGTGTTCCACCTCCTCTTTCCACCTGAAACATCATTCGCAGTGAGGGCTGAACAGCTCTAGCGAACAAAACCGGAGCCGTCGCCCGTTTAAATTTTTCCATGCACAACTGGGAGCAAGGAAGAGTGCAGTGCGACCGGATCCACTCTACATCTGGTCTTAGAGGAGTCATGCGTTGTCCGACAAACTCTGGCGTACGAATATATTTTGATGCCTATGCGTGTAATTATTGGTTATGAGATTTTTTATTCATCCACTCAAACGGGAAATGTGACGACTTTATGTCAGAAGAAATGCTATCTGCCTGTATGTTAACTATGTCTGGAAAACTGTGGGCAATTCATAATTCCATTCCAAAAAGCCAACTTATTGACCGATTCGATTAATCTCACAGAGATGCTTAAGATTTAAAGGTTTGATTCACTGTCATTACAACCATGCCGTTGATGGCGACGAAATGTGGCATTATATGAAAACGTTCAAAGCTGATAAACTTGTTTCAGAGCTAATGCTGAGTTTTTAAATTTCGCGCTCTCTCTGCTCATTGATGTCAAACACCACGAAATGTCAATGGTCACCAACATCCTATTTTTTCGACCTTAAATTCACTTATCCAGCGGTTGGGGTGAACACAGCGGTGGGTAATAAATGATTTGCCCAAAGGGATCTCATAATGGGATCCCATTTTAGCACTCTGGGTGAATCATATTGTCGTACAAACATTCCCTGGGAACAGACTGCAATCGCTTACCACTTGCTTAGCGATGTTTTGATGACGTTGCAGGTGGTCGATGGTTCCAGGCACTGCGCAGCAAACTCCCAGGCGCTGATTTGATACGTGGTCACAGGGAGTCCGCATTTTTCTAGGCAATTAATTTGAAGAATATTTCTTATCTGTGCGCTTCGATGGCTTGATCGTGGATGGTATTTAGAGATGGGCTGCTCGTTGGAAGAGCGTCGGTCGCAAAACCGAGAGCTTTAGGCTTGAGGTGCGGTCAGATCACTCGCCTTTCTTCCTTCTGAGAATAATAAATGACTGCTACTTCTGAAAGGGAAGGAAACAACAAACCACATACTATTTTTGTTATCAAGCTATGGATAATATAGCTTTAAAATGAATAATAATTCATTTCTGGTTGGTGACTAGAAGCGGAGATTTAAAAAAATGATGCGCATGAAGAAGATGAAAGCCAAAAATGGAGCTCACTTGTTAAAGTGCGAAGGAGACCGCTATCTCAGCGGTTAGAAACTTTCTTACTTCTAGAATCCTTCAGTTTCGCGAAAGTGGTAGTGGTTTTATTAAAGTTATAGGTGCCGTAGCCAACTGCCGCTGGAGAGGTTTCGTACTCCATTTTTTGCCTAGGAAAAAATGCTGCTTGTCGCAATTGAATGTTGTTTGTCAATAGGGATTGGTTGTTTACTTTCAACTACCGCAGTTACGTCTCTGAATAGATATGAAATGTTCTTGAGCAAACAGGCTCTATCTTCTGCATGTTTATAAACATGTGGAAAGCTTAGTTTTTTGTCTTCGTAATCATCAAATCTGTGCTATAGCATAATTTGGCTCTCGATGATACTGTATTGTGCCTCTCCTTGCCGTGCTTCTAACGAGCGGTAGTTCGGTATTGCATCCAGCTGGCATTAAGCGTTTTTTCTTCCACATTATCTTGAGCGAAAAGTTCATTTTCGCTGCATCATTAGACGAAATGGCGACCACAGGATGAACGTAATCTTAACTATGTGCGCTGGTGAGAGAATATACAAACGTGGATAGTTGTAACGAGACGGCATTCGGCAAAATGGGCTGCTATTACAGCTGCATAAGTCCGGAAGAAGTGTCACCAGGTACTGTGCGATATGGTCCAGCACTGGAAGAGCAAATCCGATGTGTTCTGTGCATATCATGTAAAATAATAATCTGTGTATGACGGCAAACTGCAAATTGCTGTATATGTTTCACACGCTACTTTTAGTCTCGTCTGAAGTATGTGCATTTTGCCTTAAACCATATTTTTTATTTTAGTGCCTTCACCTACCAACCTTCTAATTGAAAGGATATTAACGAAAAGCATTCTCATTTCATGGCAGCCTCCTACGAGTTCTCTGGTAGTCATCACTCAGTATCATGTGTGCGTGGACGAAGTGGTACGCAATGTGATTCCTGCAGGTTACAAAACTAAAGCACTCATTGAAGATGTGGACTGCCAAAAGGTGACATGTTCTTTCGAGTCTCTCACATCACTCGAACAGTGTTTCAGGCTCATAGGATTTCTGTTCGTGCTGTGACGGAGGCTGGCCATTCGCCCGACCCCGCGTGCACTGTCTCCGTCGGAAAAAGTTAATCTAGTAATACGTGACGTACCTCAGATTTTTAATATGTTTCCCCGTTGCAGGAAGTAATGTTGCTCCTCAGGATGTTAAGGCTTCGTGTATAACACCTGTCTCTGCTCAAATTTCCTGGTACCCAGGCAATTCCAACTACGAAACCATTGTACTTTTAAATGGAACGAAAGTTGGCGGTTGCCCACCAGGTGTATATCAAGTGCTTTTGAAAGGCCTTACTCCTATGACTAGGTACCGATGTTCAATTCGAGTGAAAGACCCTGTCGCCGTTTTGGAAGAGAAACCAGTCGAAAGTTTTGTAGATTTCAAAACTCTTCCAA